ACAGCGAGAAGAGCGTCTAGCAAGGTTTCTGGAGGACGGTTCGGAAAATGAGGAAACTGTTTCTTAACAAAGTCCCTAATTTGAAAAAAACGGAAGAGATGATGATTGGGGAGGTTATATGCAGTGGAAAGCTGTTCAAACGAAGAAAATATATTGTCTGTATACAAATCGCTAATCGATTTTATACCATTGTTATGCCAAACCCGGAACACTGGATCACTTCTAGATGGTTCAAAAGCACAATTTCGATAAACAGAGGTTAAAACAGAAGGGCCTAAGAGCCCTAATTGTTTCCTAAACTGGTTCCAAATTTTTAAGGAGGTCAAGACCATAGGACAGCCTGTCAAATGTGAAAGTGGAAAAGAAAGTTGTGAACACAGAGCAGAGCGTAACGCGAAAGGAGAATTTTTTTTTCCAAATCAACCCACCCAGGCAATGATTCATTATCACACATCCAAAACAAAAGCTTCTGCACATTGGCTGCCCAATAATAATACCTAAATATTGGCAGGGCAAATCCCCCCTTATCCTTAGGCGATTGTAGGACAGATTTTCTAATTCTGGCTGGTTTGCCGGCCCATAAAAAGTTTAAGATAAGTTTATCCAGTTTAATAAAAAATGATTTGTTAAGAAAAATGGGAAGGTGTTGAAACAAATAAAGGAACCTCGGGAGAATCACCATCTTAACCAAACTTATCCGACCTACAAGAGAAAGGGGCAAAACTGCCCAGCGGGCAAAGTCGGCCTCAGTTTTGTCAATCAACGGCGTGAGGTTAGTGCGAAATAAATCATGCAGGTTTGTAGAAATTTGGATACCCAAATAACGAAAGCCACTCTTTGACCATTTGAATGGTACTATAGAGGTGGAGAGTACTCCAGCAAGGTCATTGATAGGTAATAACTCACTCTTTTGATAGTTTAGTTTATAGCCGGACACGCCACCATATTTGTTTAAAATATCAAAAATTACAGGGAAGGACCTGACGGGGTCTGAAACATAAAGGAGGAGATCATCTGCATACAAGGAAACCTTGTGAACAGTATCAAGGTGCGTTATGCCTTTAAAATTAACTTCCGAACGAAGCCAAAGGGCTAAAGGCTCTATTACCAAAATAAATAATAAAGGGGAAAGGGGGCAGCCCTGTCTAGTACCACGCCATAAAGGAAAGGGGGGTGACAAGGTATCATTGGTGCGAACCGAGGCCCGAGGAGAAGAGTAAAGAAGCTTAACCCAGTTTACAAAAGAGTTGCCAAGCCCAAATCTGATTAATATGCTATGCAAGAAGCCCCATTCCACCCTGTCGAAGGCCTTTTCAGCGTCAAGTGACACCACCACCTCCGGTACCACATTGCAGGCAGAAGCGATAATGTTGAAAAGGCGCCTAGTGTTGGATGAAGACTGCCGACCAGGCATAAAGCCAGTCTGATCCAGTCCTATAATGGATGGTAGAAGACGTTGTAGACGAGAAGCATGTACCTTTGAAAGAATTTTAAAGTCAACATTCAAAAGTGATATACTGTAGGCCTATAACTGCCACAAAGTAATGGGTCCTTATCCTTTTTTAGAAGTAGAGAGATGGTGGCCTCTGACAGGGTAGCCGGAAGATGACCTTGGGCAAAAGCTTCGTTATACATGTCTTTTAAAAAGGGGCTGAGCAAGGTTGAAAAGGCTTTGTAGTATTCGGCGGTAAAGCCGTCAGGTCCAGGGGACTTGCCAGTCTGGAGCCCCCCAATGGCCTCCTGAATTTCAGCCATGCTGATCGGAGCACCTAGAATTTCTGCCGAGTCAGCATCAATTTGAGGAAAATCAATATTATCTAACATGGCATTAGGTGGTGAAGGGCATTCAGACGTGTAGAGGGCAGCATAGAACGTTGCAAACGTCTGGTTGATCCCAGTCGGGTCAGTCAAAATCTCCCCTGAGGTGGACTTTATTGCCGGAATAAGTCTGGAGGATGCCTCAACCCTTGCTTGGTGTGACAATAACTTTCCAGCTTTATCACTGGACTCATAAAACCGCTGTCTAGATTTTAGTAACAATGTTCTGATCTGCAAGGTGGAAGCTAGATCAAACTCCGTTTGAAGAGAAACGCGCTTTTTATAAAGACTCGGATCAGGATTGGTGGCATATTGTTGATCAGTATTCTTAATATCCCGAAGAAGACTGTTGATGTGGGAAATTTCGGCCCTTCTCTGATTAGAAATAAAGGAGATAAGTTGACCTCGGATATATGCTTTAGATGCCTCCCAAAGAGTGCATCTGCTTGTCTCAGGCATGTCATTCAGTTCAAAAAATAAAGAAATTTGAGACTGTAGAAATTCTTTATAGAACTCCTCCGCTAAAAGAACAGAATTAAACCTCCAAACCCTCAATGGACTCGGTCGACTAGGTAAGTTTAAATCAAGAGAGACCGGAGCATGGTCTGATATTGCGATACTATGGTAGTCTACTGTTGCGACTTTCGAAAGTAATCTAAGATCTAGAAGAAAAAAATCAATACGGGAATACGTGCGGTGAACATGCGAAAAAAAGGAATACGCTCTGGCATTGAGAAATTTATACCTCCAAGGGTCAGTTAGGCCGTATTTTTGAGAGAGTGTAAGCAAAGTCTTTGCTGATCGATTAGATGGAACACTTCTATTGGATGAGCGATCCAGCACCGGGTCTTGGACAAAATTGAAATCACCTCCCATAATAACGTAATGATTTTGAATATCTGGAAAAGATTCAAAAAGTTTAGTGACAAAAGAACTATCGTCCCAATTAGGACCATAAACACAGACAAGTAAAAAGGGTGTGTTCTGAATTGTCCCAGAAACCATTGCATATCTGCCATTAGAATCTAAAATAGACTTGTCAAGTATGAAAGGAATACCTTTTCGAATTATTATAGCTGCTCCCCTCGCTTTACTATTGAACGTAGAGTGAAACACTTCCCCAACCCAATATTTTTTAAGACGCATGATTTCACGGTTAAGCAAATGTGTCTCCTGAACAAAACAAACATCGCCTCTGAGCCGATTCAAATGGGCCATCACTCGTCCCAATTTTGTGGTGTTCCCCATCCCCTTAACATTCCAAGATATAAATGTCAGAGAATTATGTGTAGAAGTCATACCTTAAGTGATGAGGGTCTATCAGTGCAAAATTGTAGGGACAACTGGGATTCTGGAGAAGCATGAGAAACATAACTGGCATCAGTATACAATGAATGGAAGAAAGAGAGGTAAAAAGACGTAGAGAAAAAAAAAAAACCCATACACACAAAACACAAAAACTGGCCTAAAAACAACCCACATCCCCGAGAAAAGGAAAAAAAATTCATGTCCATTTCATGTCCAGGTGTTAACGCTAACCATAGGACTTCCATTACGAATGGAAAATCTCAACTCCCGAGATAAAGGCACTAAAAGAAAAAAGAAAATTTACAGTCCTTCAACCATTTGAGGTATGAAAGCACTGGCTTAGATACTTAAGGTGACATTTAGTCATCAACAGTCAACCGTTTTGTGGATTCCACGAGGCGGCAAAGTCGGTAGCTTCTTTCACAGAAGGGAGAGACTTCCTTGTACCTCCGTCCAGCACGATGAACAGCTTAGCAGGGTACCGCAAGGAGGGCTTAAGGCCCATCTCGTATAGCCTTTTCATAACGCCACGATACGGGATGCGTTGTTCCAAGACCTCCGGACTATAGTCTTCAACAATGTGGATAGGGATATCCTTGTACTTAAGCTTTCCCCGCAGCTTGCGGGCCTCGCGCACTACCAGTTCACGAGTTTGGAAGCTGTGAAAACAAATGATGACAGGCCTAGGCCTGTCTGATGGACCGGGCTTAGCAGCTAGCGAGCGGTGAGCCCTGTCCAGGGTTGGAGACGAAGAAAAAATAGCGGTACCCAGCACATCCAAGAGCAACTGGGAGAAAAAAGCAGTTGGTTTCGGGCCCTCGATATTTTCGGGGAGACATATTATCCTGATATTGTTTCTACGGCTGCGTCTTTCGAGCTCGGTTACCTTGGCTTTTAGCTTAGCGTTGTCAGCAGTTAAAGTAGTTAGCGTAGCTTGGATATCCATCATTTCGGTGTTAGTAGCATT